AAAGTTATCTCACACCTGACACTTGGGAGAATTATGATTGGACTGTAACTGGGATGCCAAGGGGTGGGGAATGGATTTGCATATGGCGCTCAGAGAAACAGTCACAACAAATGTGAAAAGGGGGTTGAACACCTTTTGACCCACTCCCCTGAAAATGCCTTTGTGCTGAAACATATTCTGCATTCCCAAAACCACATTTCCGCAGTGGCACCAACCTTGACTGCTCTTCTTTAAATGCAGGCCTTGTGTCTCTGTGTGTCTGTGTGTGTGTGTGTGTGTCCGTCCCTTCTCCTCCTCCTCTCTTGAAAGGGCTTTGAGGCATCCAATTGATCTGTGAAGCCCCTCATGCTTTAGCAAGGAGTAACAAACAGCTTTCCCATTACCTCTTCTCCGTGAACTCTAAGCCAACCTGCTTAGTATTCATACCTAGATGCAATTATTTACAACAGAGATTTCTCATGCAAAGTTTCAGGGGTCTAACAAGGCAGTTATAGAAGTGATTTAAAACCTAGGAAGCATGATGATCAAGGAGAATTATTCTGAGTATTCTCCAAAAGGTTGCAATGAAACAGGAGAAGTCTGTTTGGGATGGGGTGGGGGTGGGGGTGGGGGAAGGAGCCAAAGATGTCGGTGAGTGTCTATTTTACCGATCTGCATATGCGTTAAATTAATGTATGAACCTGATGGCAGACATGCAGATACTCGAGGAAAAAAACAGGTTCTGGAAGCTGCAGGTATTCAATAAGCAGCTTTTAAGGGAATTTGGGAGTGATGGAGTCTTCCCTCCTAGATCCAGAAATCATTCATGCATTTCAGACTTAATGCGGAGGAAGGAGGAACATGATGTGGATCACTAGATCACCGGATGATAACTGGTGTGAGATTGCAAATGGCTCTGTCAAAAAATGGCAATAATCTGGAAGCTTCCATCTTGCTGGGGACGATGAATAGGCGCTTCTCTTACTGCCACCTTTTTTGCACGACGGGCAAAGAGAGACTTGATTTCAACCAGCAGCTAAATCACATTTATACATCATTCAAAAGAGATCATATAAAAAGCTAAGAAGGAAACAAAAAGAGCGGACCACTCCAGCAGCCTATACTCAGATAAACAGGGATTAACATCAGACAAACAATCAAGCAGAAACCAAGGAAGCACCAAGGAGAAAGTGACACCCTCATAAGCTACTGTACATAAACAGGGGCAAACCTCACACTCACTAAGCATGTTACCTATGTCTGCAAGTCAACAACCTGGGACACCTTCCTTGAGTCCCAAGCTACATAAATTCTCTACAATGACCTCAATTTGTCTTATCATTTGTGGTGCCATGTTCTTTTTTTCCATTGTTTTTGTCTGCTGATTAATAGTCCTCTAACAGGTGGGCTATTGTGGTGATAGTTTGCTTGGATGAAAATTATTCCCCCTCCCAATCATTTTGGATAATGAGCTGGTATTTTGGGGACAACGTCTCCATATGTCAGGCCCGGCACAACTGACTTTTCCTCATTTTTCTCTAATTTACAACTGACTTTTTCCTCATTTTTCCCGATTTTGCCCATTTCTATGTCTTGGCTTTTGCCACAAATGTTAAGTGAATCACTGGAGTTGTTAAATTAGTAACATGGTTGTTAAGTGAATCTGGCTTGCCACTTTAACTTGTCAGAAGGTCGCAAAAGGGGACCACGTGATCCTGGGACACTGCCACCGTCATAAATGTGAGTCAATTGTTAAGCATCCAGATGTAAATCAAGTGACCATGGGGATGCTGCAACAGTCATAAGTGTGAAAAATAGTCATGTCACTGTTTTCAGTGCCATTGTAATTCTGAATGGTCACTGTTGTAAGTCAAGCTTGTAGTTCAGGGGTGTCCGAACTTGGGAACTTTAAGACTTGTGGACTTCAACTCCCAGAAGTCTTAAAGTTCCCAAGTTCGGACACCCCTGCTGCAGTTTGTTTAAGGAAGAAAACTGGTCTGGATTTGGTGCTAGATTCAAGCTTACAAAGTTCACCTTTTGAATTTTCAAATTTCATTTTCTTTCAGCATGTCTAATGATCTACATAATCTGAACATAATTAGTCATGTTTTAAATATTTTATGCCCCTCGATTTCCAGATGGGAACGTTGATTGACCTTTCCTTTCCCTTCCCTGCTTGCCATGTTCCCACCTGCTCCGGCTTCTGCTTTCATTACAGGGCCTGTTCTAAATGGCGGCCCTCCTGGGAGAGGAACATTTAGAAAATGCTCCCGCGCTCTTCCCAAATTTCCCCCCCATCGCTCACCAGGTTCGGCTGGAGGGGAAGGAGGAAAGAGGAAGAGGAGGGAAGGCAGCCTCCCAGCAGGTTTCACAAAGCAGAAAGAAGAAAAGGTTGACTTCCTCTGGGGAAGGGCCTTGGCTTTCTTCCTTAGTGCTGTATATTTTTCTTTGAGAGTTGCCGCATTAACATTGGCCTTCTTTCAAGAATTTCCCATCATGCAGGGGGTAATTTTGCATTTAGCATCTTTAGTAAGCATCCATTTAGATCTGAAGGCAGTTGCAGTCCTTCCTTTCTCCACCATAGTCCTCGGTGGTATTTTAGGCTGAAAGAGGGGGTGAGCTCCCAGCACTGAATGGGGGGGGGGGGGGGGGAGAACATAAGGAAAAAAACCAATACAAGAAGAAGAAACTAAAAAACAAATACAAAGCTACAGGATCAATAGGATTCTAATACAAGATAGATTGTAGATGAAATAAGAAATATGAGAGGATCAAATGTATATAGCATGTATGAAATAAGATGTGTAAAATATGTATATAGATATGGACATAGTTATATAAGATCTATATGTATTGATAAAGGAAACACAATGGATATGTAAAAGATGTAAAATGTGCTGCAAAGATGATATGATTGTATAAATAAAATAAAAAACTTTTTAAAAAAAGAAAAGCCCCAATACAAGTCCTTCACTTACGGGCATTTGTGAGATGTTTTGTTGTTTTTAATATATATATATATATAAATAGCTTGAAATAGATCTATACTAGTCTCCCTTTATTTATTTATCAGCACAAATANGGCGGGCACCGAGACGGGCGCGGGGCGGCGACGGGCGCAGCAACCTGGGCGCCTCCTCTTGCCCGCCTTCCTCCGCGCCTCCCGCCCGCCCCGTCGAGGGGCCGCTGCCGCTCGCGAGGAGCCCCGACGGAGCCCAGGCAGGGGAGGGGGCTGGATCCGATCTCTCCCCGCCCCGCCGCTCCGATGGTAAGTGGGGAGACCCCCCGAAGGGCAAGAGGGTGGGGGTCTTTTTTCCCTCAGCTGCCTCCCTCTCTCCCCTCCTCCGACGGTCGGCGCTGCCTCGGCTGCGGGTCTCAAGCGCGGGCGAGGGAGACGCATTTGCAACCAGGCGCCCGCGCTCTACTGCTGGGACGGGGGAAGCGGAGGACCCCTCGCCCCAAACCTTCCCCCTTGCCGGGCGAGGAGGCTGCAGGGAGGTCGCCTAGCGGCCGGACTGGACGCGCGGCCGGAGAAGGGCCGGAGCAGCCACCGGTGCCAGCCGGGCGACGCGTGTGGTGGGAAGGCGGCCGTCCAGCCTGCTCCCCCCTCCCTTCACGCGGCCTCCTGCCTCTCTCCTGGCCAGAGCAGCGCCGCGCCCTGCCAAGAGCCACCGCCGGCCCTGGCGGGGGGCCCGGCCCACCTCCTCCCCTGGACCCCCTCGACGGCGGCGGCGGCGGAGGTTGCCTCGGAGACGTGGCTCGACGCGATCTGGGCCGCCGCGGCTCTCCCCGACGACCCGGCCGCGGCCAGCGGAGGTGAGTCTGGGCTGCCGTCCAGGCGAGGGAGGGGAACTGCCCGCGGAGGGAGGGAGCCGTCGCGGATGATGCCGCTGCTGGCCGCGCAGGGGCGCTTCTGCCCCGCGGTCCTTCCGCGGCTTCTGCCCGAGCGCGAAGCAGACGGGAGGCTCAGGAATGGGAGGTGGAGGTGGAGAGGGCGCCCCTCCGGCCTTGCGGGTCCCCCACTCCAGAGAGGGAGGGGGAGACGGACAGAGGGAATGAGAGAAAGAGAGAGAGAGAAAGACACAGAGACAGAGAGAGGGAGGGAGGGAGAGAAAAGGAGGAAGAGAAGAGGAGGGGGAAAGAGAGGAGAGGGGAGATAAAGGGGGGGAGAGAGCAGAGGCCAGCAGCCACCCTGTGCCCACCTGCACCC